TTTTATTGTACATGTACGTCTATCATGCAGCATCATTGTTAGTACTTATGTTATGACAATTATCAAACATTTCATCCAGAGCAAGCCTAGCTCTACTTAGGTAGGATTACTCTGTTCTTTACACAGGTGCTAGCGAACATAGCTCATATAGGCAAACCTACGTTGCCCTCAACCTTCATGAATCAGGTGCTAGTGAGCATGTCTCACAGTGGACATAGCTCATATAGGCAAGATTGCCTTGCCCTCAGCCTTCATGTATCAGGTGCTAGTGAGCATGTTTCATATAAGCAAGTTTTACTTGATCTCAGCCTGTTGTCATTCAATTCCACAGAGTTAAATTCTATCCTATTGAGTCATAATTTGAGTCTTCTTTTGATGCTGTTGATAAATACTTAGATCACTTTGTGTAAAAAATTACATAGCTGCATGAGCCCTATAGGCAATATTTAAAGTTAGATTAATAAAGATGAAACTTGATAACTTTGTTGTTTTTGGGGGTAATAAACAGGTACTTTATATACTGAGTATTAAATATCAACAATACAGCACAAACAGGTACTTTATATACTGAGTATTAAATATCAACAATACAGCACAAAAAGGTACTTTATATACTGAGTATTAAATATCAACAATAGCAAAAAAGGTACTTTATATACTGAGTATTAAATATCAACAATACAGCACAAACAGGTACTTTATATACTGAGTATTAAATATCAACAATACAGCACAAACAGGTACTTTATATACTGAGTATTAAATATCAACAATACAGCACAAACAGGTACTTTAATATATTATATATCAACAGTATAGCACAAACAGGTACTTTATATATTATATATCAACAATACAGCACAAACAGGTACTTGTATAATATATTAAATATCAATAATACATCACAAACAGGTAATTGTATGTACATGTATTAAATAGTGAATGTTTAGCATTGGCATTAAGGTAGTCCGATCCTCAGGTTTATAAAATAAGCAGTTAAGTAATCAAAAATACTCATAAAAGTATCTCTGAATCAACAGAGTTATGTAAATTTATCCACAGTATTTCTTTTAAGTTAAAGATTAAAGTTAATCATATTATATAGGGAAAATCGTCAAATCTCCAATATTTTTGCAGAATAAGCGAATAGGAATATCAGCTATGCATTTTCTAATTGCAAATTGATCAACAAATATATTTAGGTTAAAAAACGATAGGTATCCAGGCATTCAGAGAAATTGTCATGATTTTTATACTTATTTGGTATTTTTTGTCTTCTATTTCTGTCATGTATTGTATAATACATAGTGTAAAAGGCTTTTGCTATCATTGCAAGACACCACAAATCACTTCTCATTTCATATCATGCTAATAATCATTGGTATCTAAGGCTGGATTCAAGAAAATCTTATTTCTCTAAAACTATATTTTTTTTCCTTTTATAGGGTACAAATGTCAACTTTTATAAGACCTTTTCTAAGACTTCCAAAAACCTTGAATCTTATAAAGATGAATATAATGAAAATTGTTGCATGAAAAAATTTCATTTTCAAGCTACATTTTGATGCATTTCAAATTAAATATTAATTTTTGGAGTTATCCTTCCTGGCTGAGGATCGGATATCCTTAACTACTTCAGGTATATCAAAAATGAAATATTTAGTCTATGAAACACTTATAATAATAATCATTATGATACTTTAAGAACATAATTAAGTCCCCTTTTTAGCTCACCTTAGTCGAAGTTCAAGGTTTTCTTATAGCCTGTTTGTCTTCTGTCTGTCTTTTACCTTTTCACAATTGATATTTACTATCATCACTCCAATAACAGTGTGTCACTTTGTTAGATCAAGTGTGCAAAAATTTCACATGTTGACCACCACATTTTGCATTGATTGGATGTTTGATTTCAATGAAATGAATATTACTTTGGATATGAAATAGAGAATCCAGCAATACACTAATGCTACTGACCAATTGCATTGAAAGATTGTTTAAGAGGACAGCAGTTGAAATAGGAAACAACAAGTGGTCATAAATGCAGTCAATTTAGTTCTCTGTTCATAAGCAAAGTAGTATTCTTTTCATTGAATCAAACATTCAATCGATAAGAAATGTTGTGATCAACATGTAAAACTTTAACATGCTCCAACAAAGTGACATGCTGTTATTGGAATGATATTACATCTCCAGATCTACATGATCATTTTCACCCAAACTTTCCACAAAGAATCCATAAGTTCACAGGAGTCAAGTTTGTCCTCAGAAAGATTTTTAGAACCTTGCTATTGTAAAACACTTCGCATTTTGGCTGTTTGTTCTGTTTATCACTTTTGACAGAGAGCTACCTCTGCTAAATCTATAGCTAAATGTCTTGAGTATTATATGAGGGGCCACTAAAATATAATGTATCGATCCTCACTAATTTATCAAAAATCTAATTTTCACCAAATATTGTAAATGTTTTATATACAAGTACATGCAATATGCATGTATTTAAAGTATTGAAATAAAATGCAGAAATATTGTACTCTTTCTCAACAACAATGATAAATCTTATGAGAAACAAATAATGGCAGGGGCTGACAAATAGATTTTTCAAGCACTTGCCCACGGGCAAGTACATGGTCAAATTTCACTTGCCCTATTTCAATTTTTACTTGCCCCACCAGCACTTTATATTCATCATATTGAATTAATTTGTCTCTAAATCGAAAAATTTTGCAGCCTAGGATTGTTGTTTAGAATATTGGCGTCATTAAAAACTACGTACCATACAATCTGTTGATTAATTGTATGCTGTTTTACGTCCCGTTCGAGAATTTTCTATTCATATACTAGAGACGTAAAATTGCTATCATATTTCAGCTATAGTCATGATATCTGCTATTTGTTTAAAATAATGGTTTCGGACCTTTTTATACGCCCGTCTTAAGACGGGACGTATTATGTTATAGGCTTCATGTCCGTCCGTCCGTCCGTCCGTCGAGCTGTTCTTACGAGAGGTACATTGTGGGGTAAAATTAACGTATTTTCCAGCAGTGTGGGGTTTTTTGGGTACTGTGGGGTTAACCCCATAATGAAGAGGTCTAATTACGTTCAAAATTACTCTATGAGGTCGAAAAACCTAAAATTAGATTTAACCTCACAAAGACTTTGTCCAAATTTTGGACATGTCCTTAGCCCAAAACGCTCAGACATTCAGAAATCTGCTGTTTATAGGAGTTCTGTAATTGAATCGAGGAGTTCCGAATACCTGAGCATGCGCATATATTTAAAACTAACTGCGCATGCGCAGAATACGGAAGTAGCTGTGTTTGGACATTTTGTATTAGCAGTGAGGAAATTCGAAAACACAAAAAGCAAATGCAGTAAGTCTTACTATTTTGTTGCACCACATTGAAAAAAAGCTTTGTAAGTTGTTTGATATGATTCATATACGTACATTATGCAGTTGTAGAATTTATTTAAAGTCAAGGAAAGGACACTTGTAGTCCACATAAACACATACCGATTGAAAACGGGCTTTTGTGAAAAAAATTATAATGAATGCACTGATAGTTCTTTTTTTAATCAGAGGTCTGCAATGAAAATCGACCGATACCCGGGGGTCGGGCTAGTGGTTTTCTGCAAGTAGGTCGCCCCGTTGGCCAGTAAAAAAAGATAATATTATTTATACACATGCAATGCATGCAAAGCACACCTGGTACGTATTTTCACTCGTTTTTTGCAACAAAAATCCAAACCATTTAAATTTTCCATATAGCATGCTCCAACTGTCAATAAATCTCCATAATTTAATCCGTGTTGGAGTACTACTTGGCTTATTTACTTCAAAAAACGATCGTGTTTTTTTCTTAATTCGAATTTTCTCTATATCTATGGTAATTACATGCAGATATCTCATAACATAAATACATGTGATTCTTCCGATGGGAGACAAAATCTCTGGATTTTTCACGCCTCTTCCGCCCCTTCCGATTAATTTTTAAATCATCCGTGTTTAAATTTTTTTCAAATTGAATATTTTTGGCTTTAATTTTATCCTGTTTCGTAGTATAATTGCTCTCTCTCTCTCTCTCTCTCTCTCTCTCTCTCTCTCTCTCTCTCAAATTAGTTCTAGATACGTACCAATTGTTTATCTACTCTTCACACATTTGTTTACATGTACTTGTAATCGTACCTTAATCTATAGAGAAAAAATCAGAATGGAAAAATGGAATTAATGTCACTGCAATAAATTTTCGCAGCAAGTAGGAATCGTAGGAATCAACATGGGGTTGTATAATTAGGTTGTAAAATTTAGTGGTATATCAATTTGATAAATGACAATCAATGTTTATAAATGAGTGTAGGACATTTTAATCAGTTGTTAAAATACCCAATATGTCACATTGCTTACACAGTCGCTTGTGTAATTATGTGCCGGATAAAAAAATTCACCTATTAAAGAAATTAAACAAATTACCTTTAGATACGTATATATAACTCTCTTTGTGTTAATGGAAAAAATATAATTGTCCTGTAAGATCAATTTGTACTTATTTTTCAAGATCGACCATTGAAAGTTTAAAAGAATTAAATCACAATTAATAGTTTTTCTATAGCTAAACTTAAAGAAATTCAAGCTTAAAGCTTCATTTTGTAATTTACAATATTAATTCATCATTACTTTGAATATTTACAGTGAGAGTATGTAACTTAGCTAATACAGGTCTATCAGTATTTTCACACCTGTTAGATTTTGATTCCGTGTAGAAGCTCTAATTGCAACTCTTGTCAAAACAAATGTTTTGTATAGCATGATTATCTCGTGAATTTCACCATCAGGAGACGATCGATAGGGATTAGTTACGCTCTACTGCACTTGACACCTGTGTTGTGTAGAATGATTTTAAACTGCGTAAATACAAATCTTTGGTCAATTGAATAATTTTTTGTGTGTGTCTGTATTTTAGATAGAAATTCTGACAGCTTTATAAAAATAATATTAAAAATTTACCAGACTTTAAAAACTGACTTTAAAAACTTCAGCAAAGTAGTTGATCGAGGATTAATTGAAAGGGGGGGGGGGTTACACTGCTGATCATTACCTGAACATATTATAGTGAAGTTTTTAAATGAATTTTATTGACACTTACTGAAATAAATTTTTATACTTTATTTAATTCACACTGTCTTTTAATTAAAGCTTTTATATTTGAAAGATAAACTGTCTTTCTTATTAAAGCTTTTATATTTTTTCTTATAAAAAATAGATAGTAGTAAGACACATGTATTTCTTCTTGAATGATTTGAATGTTACAAAAGAACACTAAGAGTTCCCGAAACTGTCTAGTCGGAAATTGTCTTGTCTAATATATTCAAAATTCACCGGATAGTTGCAAAATTTACCGGACATTAATTTTTTGTATGTAAATTTAACATATTATAGGATTGGAAATTGTAACGATATAATGAATGATATGTGTAAATAAGAAATTATTGAAATTGTTCGCATTTTGTAATAATTTTGCCTTTGTATGCATTAATTTTTTGATATGTGACGTTGCATATTAAGGCGTGTGATGACCAACGCTTAATTCATGTATAAATTTATATATGTCCTTTCTGACAGATTAAAAAAAGACAATTTAAAATGTTTTTTCGTATATGGCAACTCTTGTTGATTGTTTGGAAAATATGTTGTTTTCCAGGCTTTTTTCTTTTGGATTTTTGTATTTTATGTGCCAACGGAAAAATATAAATTTATTATGGTAAAACCGATATTTCTGAAAGATTTTTAAAATGTTTTTAAAAGCCTGCAACATGTACTAATGATTGTTAAAGATATGCAAATTTCCAGGCTTGAAAAATGATTCTAATGATTTTTGTATTTTATGTGCCAGATACTGCAAATATTCGTAAAAAATGATTTTTAGAAAAGTGAATTGTAAACGTCTGATATTTTAAATGCTAGTTAAAATTTAATACAATCCAGAAGTTGGTTAAAAATATGATTAAAACGAGAAGATAATAAATGGTAGGTCAAATACATGTAAAAAAAATCAGAATGAAATACATGATTTTAGCAGATGTTTTTAAAAATAAAATTATGAAAATAATACATGGAAAAATATTACAATATCAAACTCGTTTTCCTGGTAAAACGTCGAAAGTAGAATTGTACATTTTTATGCTAATGATATAAAGATATGCAAATTTATCAAATACATTAGAAAAATTTGTTGTCTTTTACTACATTGCAACAGAAGTTGGTGTAATATTATCCTAATAGATTAAATTATGAGAAAATGGTAACAAATTTTGTTCAAGCAGACAGCACTCTTGGTTTCCTTCAAAACGAAAGTAGATTGTCACATTTTTTTTTACTGTCAGAACTACAGAGTGCATATATTTATCATGGAAAATATTTGTTGACAGGGTTTTTAAAACTGTTTTTCCTCCCAGACTTATGGAAATTATTATTTTAATATGTAGCTTTTTATAGTAGACAATCAACGTCTACATTTTATTTAAACAAGATCTGGCGATGCCCTGACGTTTTTTTTTTTTTTTCATTCCTTTAGTTTTGCATTTGTTTATTGTCAGGACAATTGAATTAAATGATTTTGTTAAGATTATATGTAAAGGTTATACAGTCTGTAAAAAAAAAAAACCATCGGACATTTTGACCAATAAAATTAAGATTTTACCGGTCCCATTCAAAGTTCACCGGGGATCCCCGGTGGACCGGTGCGTTTCTGGAACTCTGAACACTTATGAACAAAACCTAAAAATTTAATTTGGAATTCTTTAATTTCATATTTTTTAAATAGGCATGGATTAATATATATATACACACATACAAAGGTTTTGTGAAATTGACATGTTTAATTAAATCAACTGTAGTGGTTATTGCTGTTTATTTATTGACTGACTGGCTACTTCTTGGGCAAACTGGAATAAGAGGCCACCTGTCTTAAGTGGCTAGTTTCTGGACTTCCCAAAGCTTAAAACAAGTTTGACTGTACTTTTTCACCTTTTACCAATATATAAGAAAGTAGTTCACAGTACATGACAACTATGCTTTAAATAAATTTCGATGAATTTTAATTAGTAACTCGGAATTTTTGTATGTGATATAAATAAACATTTGCTTCTGTATTCCTTTGTAGAGTTCAGATACTGAAAGTGAACATCAGTGGAACTTTGATGATCTAGGCCGCTCTATTTTTGCAGCAACACCAGCATGCGTCGGACATTCATAAAGTTGAAAGAACAAACCTATGACTTGAACACACAATTTGTGATCTGAATATAGTTCACAAATTTAAGGAAAGCAACTATCAAAGACATCCAGATTGATGGTTAGTACATGTTATAAGTGCCCATAAAATCAAACAACAATATTATTTTACAATAAATTAAAACATAACCTGTTAAAAAAAAAATTGAACATTATCATTTATAAATATATTTTACTGTATTTTTTTTTTGACAGGTATACATGAAGTATGAATGAAAGACTTTTCAGAAGAACAAGCGCAATCCCGATTCATTCTTGCCATTGTCTGCTCCAGACGGCGACATTTAGGACCTGACTTACTTTTCAGAAAAAGAAGATGAATCGATTTTTGATAGTTGATCTTAAAAAGATAACATTTTCAGGGGTCGTGGATTGAATGACATTTTCTTGCAATCTCCCATGCAGAGTTGTCGTTCGTTCCTCTCTCAGACACCTCTGCATTGGGCTCACGTCAAGATTTTTGACATAACGTATAAAACTTGATATTTGAAAAAAATGTTTCAATTCAAATCAATAGGTCTGGATTGATTTAGTAAATATCTATCTCAAAATTCAGACATAAGCATAGAAATTGAATTGTAATGAATTAAAACAAACGCACTATTTCTCGTGTTTAAAACTGTGTATACGCGAGCCAACGACAGAGGTGAATGTATGAGCTGATGGTAGAGAGTGATTTTCTTGATGGGCAACTAGTTTCAAGTATTTGGATGTCTATTCTCAAGTTACTGCAAACCTTAAATTAACTTCTTGATTATTAGTTAAATGTGAGACCGTTTCTTACTTGAAGTAATCATTTTTTGAATTGAGCTATGTAATCTCTGATTACTTATGTTTATGAGTAGTGTTCAGCTTTAAGACAAAAGGATCTTTTATGAACATTGCATTCGTCATGGTGAATTTCTATACATTAAGTAACAGTCATAGTTTTCGTCTTTTTTAATTAGCGATCTCATTTTAAATGTGAGAAATAATTATTAAACTGAAATGTACATTTATGTTGTTTGATTTTTATTTTTTTGAAAATTGTAAATCAATTGCATGTTGTTTTTTTTTTTTTTCATTTTATTTTAGGGGATGGGAGTGGGGTGCAGCTGTAAGTTTGAGTATATTTTCCAAAAGGATGTACATCGTTATTTTTGTTTAAATATCAATTTTAAAATGCAAAATGATGAGATATTAGACTACACACTTAAAACTTCATTTAAATTAATATATTTTGTTTAAAATAAGTAGCAACACCATGCAAGTTTTAGAGTTATTTGACAACTCACTATATACTTGTTTTTTTTTTACATTTATGAAGATTGTCTCAAATTTTGAGGGTTTTTTTCTGTGTTCTACATTTATTGACATGTTTCTTATCTGTGTTCATCTTGTCGAGTAAATGAAAAGTTTGATTAAATTTTTTTTAAAAAATCAGGATCATCTCTTTTATTTATTATTATTAATTTACAATGAAATTATGTATGCTTTTGATGCATAATGTACACTTCAAATTCATGCACCAGCAGATTCAAAGGAAAAATTCTCATTAGAAATAAGCAGTTAAGATAAAGAGATTATCCAATTAAAAATAGTTTGAAAAATATTTAAAACAAATTTTCAAGTATGTTATCAAAATAGGAAAAAGTATTATAAATATAGTTTGGTATTTTTGATAGTAAAAAAAAGAGGATATGACGTACTGGCAATTGCATCATCTCACTCAGGGTCTTTCCGTCAGAGTTCGGAAAAACAACCTCGAATGTATTAACATCACCTGATGTTAAAGGTTATGCTTTTCTTGTTTTTTTTTCAAATATAGGATAGAGGAAGTAAGAAGTCCCTTTTATAGTAAGTTTTATGTAATATCATAGCATTGAATAAAATTAAACTCCATATTCCACAGATAAAAGGTCTTCATGCATTTATTTCGAAGATCATGAAAAGGGGGGGTTGTTGCCATGGCGTCTAACTAATACATTCGAGGTCATTTGTCAGCTAGTCAGAAAGGCTCGAGAAGTTGCGATTGAACATAGTGGGGGTTCTTGTTCTTTTATTACCAGTCCCTGGTAGAGTTTTTTGATATTAGAACATACTGGGGTTTTCAAACACTTAAATTCATATGGTTACTGGTATCTGTTACATGAGAATACAGCGGGGTTGTTTGTTTAACACTCTGAGGTTACTAAGATGTCTAATATTTTCTATCAGAACATATTGTGGTTCTTGTCTAACACTTTGTGGGGTTAATGTTATCTTTTATTTATATAAGAACATAATGGGGTTGTTACACATTATGGGGTTAGTGTTGTCTATTATCTTTATAAGAAGACTTAGTGGGGTTGTTGTCCTAACACTTTATGGGGTTAGTGTTGTCTATTATCTTTATGAGAGTACATAGTGGGGTTGCTGTGGGGTTATGAAAGTACATAGTGTGGTGTCCAAACACTTTATGGGGTTAGTGTTGTCTATTATCTTTATGAAAGTACATAGTGGGGTTGCTGTCCAAACACTTTATGGGGTTAGTGTTGTCTATTATCTTTATGAAAGTACATAGTGGGGTTGCTGTCCAAACACTTTATGGGGTTAGTGTTGTCTATTATCTTTATGAAAGTACATAGTGGGGTTGCTGTCCAAACACTTTATGGGGTTAGTGTTGTCTATTATCTTTATGAGAGTACATAGTGGGGTTGCTGTTCAAACACTTTATGGGGTTAGTGTTGTCTATTATCTTTATGAGAGTACTCCAAACACTTTATGGGGTTAGTGTTGTCTATTATCTTTATGAGAGTATAGTGGGGTTGCTGTTCAAACACTTTATGGGGTTAGTGTTGTCTATTATCTTTATGAGAGTACATAGTGGGGTTGCTGTCCAAACACTTTATGGGGTTAGTGTTGTCTATTATCTATATAAGAACATAGTGGGGTTGCTGTCCAAACACTTTATGGGGTTAGTGTTGTCTATTATCTTTATGAGTGTACATAGTGGGGTTGCTGTCCAAACACTTTATGGGGTTAGTGTTGTCTATTATCTTTATAAGAACATAGTGGGGTTGCTGTCTAAACACTTTATGGGGTTAGTGTTGTCTATTATTGTTATGCGAGTACATAGTGGGGTTGTTGTCCGAACGCTTTATGGGGTTAGTGTTGTCTATTATCTTTATGATAGTTCATAGTGGGGTTGCTGTCCAAACACTTGATGGGGTTAGTGTTGTCTATTATCTATATGAGAGTACATAGTGGGGTTGCTGTCCAAACACTTTATGGGGTTAGTGTTGTCTATTATCTTTATCTAGTGGGGTGGTTTATCTTTATGGGGTTAGTGTTGTCTTTATCTTTATGATAATACATAGTGGGGTTGTTGTCCAAACACTTAATGGGGTTAGTGTTGTCTATTATCTTTATAAGAGTACACACTGGGGTTGTTTGTCTTATAATTTATGGGGTTAGTGTTGTCTGTTATTTCTATATAGCATAGTGGGGTTGTTTGTTTAACACTCTCTGGAATATTCTTGTCTATCATCTTTATGTGAAAACATGATGGGTTAATTTACTTTGATGCAAAAGTTATCCTCAAATAAAAACATTTTTTTGCATTGTTACTGCTAGGCAGTAGTTGAAAAAAAGTTATTGCAATATCCGTTCTAAGTTCTTCAGATAAACAGTAACAATTTTAAGTACTTATAATTAGTTGCCCGTAAAGTTGACTTGATATTAAATAATTTATTTTTAACCCCACAAATATAGATCTTTAACCCCACAAATATAGATCTTTAACCCCACAAATATAGACCTTTAACCCCACAATATACCATTTGTTTGAATTCCTAATGATACCTCTCAAGTCACCACTGTACTATTAATAACCCCACAAAGCAAAATTATAACCCCGCACCTTCCGTAAAATGCACAATGTACCTCTAATTTAAATGAATTTGATGAAAAGTAATTAACACTAATTTGATTTTCCATAATAAACTCATATGATATTATATAATATGATTAATCTAAAAAACTAATTTCATAGGATTGGTCCAAGTCAGCATGTCCATTTTCCATAGAAATCCCATATTAAAATCTTTCTGTCATTAAATGTTTTTAAAAAAATCATTGAGTATTTTATATATTTTTAAAAATATTTTATGGTAGAGAGTTCAGATTCATTCATCTATAGTAACGAGTAGACAAGCATCCAGTCTAAGATTAATTAATGAGTTCAATTTAGGAAGACTAGCCAGCATCTTCTTATCTGTTACCCTTTGGGAATTAGACAGAAGAACTGCTGGTCAGTTGAAATAGCATATGTCATTTGATGGCCAGCATTTTATTTTCAAAATTAATTTTGTATAGATTAAGTTGTTAAGACTACCGGTAATTTGATATTGTTTAATATGATGGGCATTTGACAAGGTCTAATACAACCAGTATAGAAATCTATCAATGATGCTATGATTAATGCCTACACCACAGGGGATGGATAAACAAATATTTTAAGGAATAGAAAAAAATATTGAAATTTTAGAATCAAGGTTGACATGATTTTCTTGCACTCTAAACCATTTAGTTAATTTTAATTTTTTGACGGGCGTATCATGCTGTGGCGTGGCACTTTATTTTTTCTTTTCTCATACCTGGTATGCTTATACGGTTTTGTACTGAGTTTTTCATATTTCCTCCATTTCTCCAATGCCAATTTGTCACTTTCAATTAAGTACAAATACATGTACTTAAAACTTTCGGTAAAACTTGTAATGAATTTGCATAATGATGACACAATTAAACTGGTTCGCATGCGAAGTGTGACAATCAAAAGAAGATAACTCTTACAACAAAATAATTTTAATTTTGTGGAAAACTATGACATTTTTAGGTCAACTGAGTAACTCAGGTGACCTATTGCTATCTGTTTTCGTCCATCGTCGTGCGTCGTGTGTCGTGTGTTAACATTTGAACATTTTCAACTTCTTCTCTGAAACCACTGAACCCATTTCAACCAAATTTGGTATGCAGCATCTATGGGTGAAGGGGAACAAAAATTGTGAATTTCATGGTCCCTGCCCCCCTGGGGCCTGAAGGGTGGGGCCAAAACCACTAAAATTATTGAAATCTTAAAAAATCTTCTTCTTTACTCCTGGACATCAAGCAGGCAAACTGTTAGCATGAATGTAATAAGCATTGAGTCCTCTACCAAAATTGTGAAATTCATGGCCCCAGGGTCAGGGGTTCTAGTGCTAGGGCGGGGCTATATAGATT